CGGTAGATGCGGACTCCATCCAACCCATTCCAATCCCTAACTTTGGTTGCAACCTTTCCCTCTCAACCTCTCTAAAAGCTTTAAAGTCCCTTCCAGGTCCCTCATATCATGGCACAAAGCCCTTGTGAGGACATTATCGGTTGTCAAATTGAGTTCATAGCCCTTGTTTTTCATTTTTAAAAATACCAATTTTGCCCTTTCTAGGGACCCTTTCTTGCATTACACCATTATCATGGCATTGTATGTTGCCACATTGGGCAGACACCCTTTTTCTCTCATTCCTTCAAATATTTGCAGGCCTTGTCTATGTCCCCAGCCCTTCCAAAACCATGCATCAGAGTGGTGCATTTTGTAGCATCAGGTGCAGAGGCCCTCTTTTTCATCTCTATGAAAAAGACCATACTGAGGTCATCTGACCAGTTCTTAAAAAGTCCTTGAGCAAAATATTGTATGTAGAGAGAATGAGAGAGACCCAACTCCGCCATCTCTCTCAAAACCTAACTGCCATTTATGCAAGGATGTTATGGTATCAGGCTTACATGTGTCTAATAGCTCTGAAAATTTCATGGGCTCGCTCTACTCTCATTGGTGATTGGACTTGCAGATCTCCAGTAACGTTTTGATGTGCTGTAAATTTGTTGGGGGCAACCATAAACTTGCACCTCTGATGGCTCTATATGCCATGAACTTGCATCTCTTATGGCTCTATATGCTTTTCCAGCTTTTATGAGATGGGTAGAGGCCATGGATTTGGATTTGGGGTTATGCAAGGTTACAAAAAAAATTATTTTCCGTTTTCACATGTGGGTTTTGATTTGTTGGGGAGTTGGGATTTTATTGTTCTAGGCTTGGGTGATGACGGTGTATGCAGATCGGCTCTTGCTTTTGTTTTTTTTATTATTCTAAACAATAAAGGAAAATATTATTCTAAACAATGAAGGAAAATTTCATAAAAAAATCATGATCATAGTATAGGAATAATATGCTATATGATTTATTTTTATCCTTAAAACAATATTTAATCACCATTCCACTTTTTTTTTTTTAATCGTTAAAATACTATTTCATCACTATTCTATATGACTATTTGTTTTTGTTAAATGGAGTTACAATATTTTATGCTCATGAAGTCCAACAGCTTAGAGGCTTGGAGTTTATCATAAAGTTTAAAAAGTTGGATACTTCAAAAGAGTGTATCATAAAGTTTAAAAAGTAGGATACTTCAAGCAGCCTAATTTTTTATGCAACAGACAAGGAATTAGCAATCAAGTTTGAATCGGACCATTGAACTATCAAAACAAAATAATATCCAATAAATGACGATAATGGTTGCCTCTTTGTACCAAAGTTAATCTTTTAATACATGTTTTTTTATAATTTAGCTATATTTCTAATACTAATTTCTCACTCCAAATATTTTATTGATATTTTTGAGCACTAATATCTTACTAGTAGATCAAATTGGTCACCCATATAGAACTAGCCGAGTTAATAACTCAGTTGAGTTGATTTAGTCAAATAAAAAATAAAAAATAAATAAATAAATAAAATATATAAAAGTTCAAAATGTTTTGAAAAAGTTTAGGAATCTTAGATCATTCAATGCTGGTTTATGACAAAAAATATTTTGTAATGCAATTGTGATGCATATATGGCTGAGTCCCTAGTTGGCAATATTGAAAAGAAATAACGTTTTGATGTTTTACACCATATATTTTAGTTGAATGGTGTAGACTAAATATATCTTTTAAGATACTTGCATGTCTATTATGCTAATGTCAAATCTTATTAACATTCAAAAACGAAAAAAGAAAAGAAAAGAATAGTTAACATGAAATATAGGGGAAATATCCTCGTATCCCATATTTTTTGTTTTCATGTCTCAATAGATCCAAAGATTCAAAATATATCTCCTAATCCCCTGACTAACTTTACCCATTTTTAACTAGTTTTTTAGCCCTAACAAATATAAAAAAGGTATGCTCATTCTAAATCCTCCATCTCTTTACGTGATATATTCTCCCAAACTTCTCTCTCTCTAATATTCACCATCTTTATCTCTCTAACGGGGAGAGAGTGTGAGAGACATGGGAGGAGAGAAAGTGGGAAAATAGATAGAGAGAGATTTATGAGAAAATCACTTAAAGAGAGAGAAATGATGATGTTTAAAAAAGATGGTGTTTAAAAATAATGTCTTTCTTATATTTGTTTGGGCAAAAAAATAAGTTTAAAAGGGGATAAAGTTAGCTCATGGAGTTAAAATATATAAAACTTTGAATTTTTATGACCCAATATATGTTTTGAAATCTTGGATTTATTGAGATATAAAACTTAAAAATAAGAGGTATGGAGATATTTTCCCTTAAATATATTATCCAAATAAATACATGGTGTAGATTACTGCAACATTACTTTTACATTTAAATTTGTCATATTATGTAAAATTTTTCCAAGGTTAAATAGTTAACCCCACATGAGTACGGTTTAATAAATTTCCATTAAAAAAGTTGAAAGTTCTAGGGAAATTATCACTAATATACCTATATTTTAATAAAATCGAAAAAAAAAACCTCTAACTTGCCAAAACCTCTCCTACACCCTTTTTCCCAATTTTTGGTTTTTTTTTTATGAAAATACCCTTCATGTTATTTTTTTACCGTAAAGAATATTTCGGTAATTTAAATACCCTAATAAGTTGAAGGAGTATTACAGTAATTAAAATACCGTAATAAGTTAAAGGAGTATTACGGTAATTAAAATACCATAATATCTTAAAGTAGTATTAAAGTAATTTAATTACCGTAATATTGCCCAACCCTCAAAACAAAGGATTTGTTAGTCTCGAGTCTACTATCTATTTACTCCCTCGATAAAAATCCATACTAGTTGTATTTTTCAAATCTCAAATTTTTAAGATATAATCTCTACTTAATTTTTATATGGTTCTCCAAATTTTAGAACAAAAACACTCTTAAATAGGTGCTTTTGAGCATGAGAATAGATCCACATCGTGCTCCCATTGGAATATAGTTTTTTGAACAAAGAGGGGCAGCTCTCATATTAGCTTTGGTTTCAAGCTTTTCAACTAATAGGAGGGTAGAAGTGGCTAGGAAAGTATTACGGTAATAAGAATAACATAAAAACTTCCCACACATTATGGTCAAGACTTTCGACCCTCTTATTGGTTGAAAAGCTTCAAATCGAAACTAATATCAAGGCTACCCCTCTCTCTTTTCAAAACATACATGTTCCCATGGGAGTACGATGTGGATCTACTCCCTCGCTCAAAAACACATATTTAAGAGTGTTTTTGTTCTAAAATTTTGAGAACTATATAAAAATTAAGTAGAGATTATATCTTAAAAATTTGATATTTGAAAAATACAGCTAGCATGGATTTTTGCCGAAGGAGTAAATAGATAGTAGACTCGAGAGAGTAGAAAATCCTTTGTTATAAGGCTGGAGAAATATTACGGTAATTAAAATACCATAATACATTAATTACCATAATATTACTTTAAGGTATTATGGTATTTTAATTACCATAATACTCCTTCAATTTATTACGGTATTTAAATTATCATAATGTTATTACAGTAATTAAATTACCGTAATACTACTTTAAGGTATTACGGTATTTTAATTACCGTAATCCTTCAACTTATTACGGTATTTAAATTACGTAATGTTCTTTACGGTAAAAACTACCGTGAAGGGTATTTTCATCCAAAAAAAATCAAAAATTGAAAAAAAGAGTGTAGACGAGGTTTTGAAAATTTAAAAGATTTTTTTTCAATTTTATTAAAATATAGATATATTAACGATAATCTCCCAAAGTTCTATTAGTAAAGGGGATGAAATTCTCACTCTTTCAATCTCTACCGTATCAAAAATCATTAGTATGATCTAAACTTCACTAAATTAAGGCCTAACTGGGAAAAAGGATTGAATGACATGCTCACTTTTTTTCTCTACAAAATGATTCACCATGTGGTATGGAATAGGATCCAGTTTTTTAAAAAGGTGAGGTTTGTATAAGGTTCGTCCTTTAAACCATCAAAGTAAGGTGCACAATGGAATAAAGCTAAAAGATGTGGTTCAAGAACCAATAATCCTTACAATGATATGCAAATATATATTTATACCTAATTTACGAAATTTAAAGCTTCAACGAAAATGTAGACTAAGTAGATATGAAATTTAAAACTTCAAAAATATTATAGATTGAACAAATCTAAAAACATTTGAAAATAGATAAACCAGATAATATATTACAAGATGCACTATTTTGAATACTTGAAATTCTATCTTTTTCATGTACATACATCTCGAGGTCAAGATGTTTCAAGTGAGTTTTTGAAGTGTGGCTTATTTCTATAATATAAGATTGACAACTTATATAAGAATTTTTCTTTTATAAAGCATTAGTATTAATCAAATCTATCCTATCTTAAAAATTCATCACCATGGACAGTGCCTTGTCTCTCTCTCTTCTTTCTCTCTGTTGGCAAGGGAAGTTGGATGAAAATTCCTCCAGTTCTCTATATCTCTTTCCACCAACCACTGTAATTTACACTGTAGTATAGTTATACCTACATGAGCTAATGAAAACTAGCATAGAACCCGGTGGTAAAAAGTTATTTTGTGCAAAAGCTAGCCTCGTGTATCTTAAAATTGCCTAAACAACATCACATACTTCAGACAAGCCTCTCTCTCTCTGCAATTGATGGAGAGATGCTTTCCACCTCACACAAAAACCTGCTGAAACTTTCAGCCAGAAAGTACGCCAAGTTTTTGAGTAGAATTATCCCAACCATCCACATTTAGATCGGACAGCAAGTAATAGTAGTCATATATTTGATGTGTGCGGCGCCACATGCAAGTTTCCCTTTGTTAATATCAAGACTTTTTGGATTTTCCAGAGCAGCTTTATGTTATGCACATATTAAGTCGATCCTAACTAATTTTTGTTCAATTCCAAATCAACATAAAAAGCCATCAAAGCATCAAGAAGATAATTTCCATCCAAATATCAACACAAAATTAGTTCAAATTAAACTCAGGGCGACCAACTTAGCATCAAAATTTGATAGCTGGGATCTCCCCGCAACACAGTGTAAGCATCCGAACAATCCATTCAATGGTTTATACGCATTTTACAAGCAAAAAGACTCTGTGTCAAGAAGCTGCTACTTTTGCAAGTTCGATAAATATATCAAGAAACATCATAATCTGACTTCGATACCTCTATCCAGCAAATGCTTCTTAACTGATGTAATCGGAACCTGTAAAGAGTAAAGATTAAAAAAAACGCTAAATTTAGTTCATGAATTGAGAAAATCAACACTCACCATTTTAAGGGAGTCCAAAATAATTACAGTAAAGAAAAACCATAGATTAAAAAGCACTGCAGATTTAATGTCGCCATGAAAATGAGACACATTGCTTTTGGTTTCCAGAGAATAACAAAAGCCCATTGAGAAAGAAATATCTTACCCTTTTGGAGCAATTTATTTCATACTCCATTTTATAATATATTTTCCCTTGGTTAAATGCTGAAACCACTAAGGTCTTTGCCTTTTTGAGAATTACCTCCTTCCGGTGAAATATGCCAGCAGCAAGAGCAGCTGAAGCATTTGTTTTCTGAAAGACCTCTGAGAAGTGTTCAACTGCACCAGCCCCACTGCTTGCAATGACAGGAATACTAACTGCATCTGAAATCAGCTTGATCAAATCTGTATCAAACCCATGTCCTTGACCTACAAACACACCGGCATTGAAGCATTTTCACAGACTATAAAATCGGAAAGTTTCAGAAAAATAACTATAAATTGGATCTCTTGCTTCAAGGGAAAGTATAACTTCAGAAAACAGCCATCCAATTGGGTCATGACCATGCAATAAATGGACGGTGGATGGTGATACCGTGATGGAGAGAGAGTGTATAACCATTGGGGTCATGCTCTCCCCCCCTCTCTCTCTCTGTCCACAAATTCTAAAGATGATCATGGCCGTAATGAGCTAAAGTTTCCGTAGTCCAATGAGCCATAGTTAATTTATTCTGGTCATCGTCCAAAGGTTTGTGAAACCTGCTGCTTCAGTTAATAGACCTAACCTATCACATCTTGGTCAGTACCTTGAAGAAGGAATTTTGTGTGTAGCATCTTGGTCGGTACTTTGAACAGGAATTTTATATGTTATTCCTCATACATGAATCCATTATTGGAGCTTCTAAATGTAATAAATGATAAACTCTAAGATATTTACCATCACAATCTATACAATTGAGCAATATTTCTCCTGCCCCCAGCTCTTCAACAGCTTTTGCAAGCTCATATGCTCCAATGGGTCGGCCCTCCCTACCACCATTGACCTGCTTCAAGAGCACAACACAGTAAAATATAACTGGTCCAAAAATGAAAAATACATATGAAGAACAAAAGTTCAGAACGGTGAAGACATAAAAGTACAATAACAAGACCTCCCTATGCATACACCACAATATCAAGAATAAATATAAGGGAATTGTTTATAACTTAACAATACTGTTAAAATTTTAAAACCCATTTTTTAAATCTTTGAAACTTCCATAGAAGGAAGACAACCAAACCCATTCTTAAGATCTGTGAAACTTTAAGGTTAACTTTCTCAAAAAAAAAAAAGATTTGTGAAACTTCCATAGAAGGAAAACTACCAACCCATTTTTAAGATCTGAAACTCCCATAGAAGGAAGACCACCAACCCATTTTTAAGATCTGAAACTCCCATAGAAGGAAGACCACCAACCCATTTTTAAGATCTGAAACTCCCATAGAAGGAAGACCACCAACCCATTTTTAAGATCTGAAACTCCCATAGAAGGAAGACCACCAACCCATTTTTAAGATCTGAAACTCCCATTGAAGGAAGACCACCAATCTCTCTCTCTCTCTCTCTCTCTCTCTCTCTTCCAGGGGGAGGCTCCAAAAGCCCCCCCAATGCATCTTCCACAAAGTTTGGAGAGAGAGAGAGAGTGACCTTAATGCCAAGAGTTTGACAACAATATCTCCATTAGCAGATGTGGTAAAATTTTAGAACATTTCATGTTTTTGCCATAATTAATGTACCAGTACAATTCACAGCATCTGAGAAACATTACTAGCAGTTCTAAATCTTAGGCATATAATCAAGGGATCAGACGGAAAACAAGAATTACCGTGCATTGGTACCATGCATATTCTTCTTCGTTAGGGCCTGCAATCAGAGAGGAAAACAAAATAGTTTTAAGTCAATGGGAATTCTAAATGGTTGCAGCTAACTGGAGATAGCTCTAGCAACTGTTGTCAACAAATGAAAATGTTACTTTAAAATGTACTCAAAAGGCTCAGCTCGATCATAGAACTGAAGCACCAAATCTTCCAAATTGTTTTAAGCTAAAATGACAAGATCAATATGGGCTGGTTTAGTGATAGCAATGCGTTGGTTCAGTGGTTCAGAAAGGAAAAAAAACTAGTTTCAAGTCAATGGGAATTCTAAATAGTTGCAGCTAGCTGGAGATAGCTCTAGCACCCATAGTCAACAAATGAAAATGTTACTTTACAATCAACTGAAAAGGCTCAGCTCGATCATGAACTGAAGCACCAAATCTTCCAAATTGTTTAAAGCCAAAATGACCAGATTAATATGGGTTGGTTCAGAGGTAGACAAAGGTAGGCCAAAACCAAAAGCACCATTCAACAATGTACACTGGTAATGAGTTGGTAATAAACCTGGACTCATCACCCTGATTGTCTTGAACTCGACATCATTGGGACTCTTTAGGTATACTCTGCGTGGATCTATACTTACGACCACAGCCTGTGACCAAATAAATCATCAGATATCTTCAGCTGCTGCTATAAGAATCCAAAAATCAGTTATAGGAGCACAGGACCAGAAATGAAATGCCATGATTTGGAAACCATGCCAAGAAAGAAATTTAAAATTCACTGTTACTATTTATGAATAAAAGAAGTAGCAATGCTATAGCTACGAAGGCAACTGAAATCTCATGCACATGATAAAATGAATCCCTTTGGGCAATCATATTCTATAATAGACAGCACATGCAACACATAAGAACTAAGGGAGTGAAAGAAAACAAACAAGGAAAACAATTAAGCAGCCAAGAAAGCAAATTCACCTGGTTTCCATAAACACGAGAAATCTGTTCTAAGCTACTTTTCCCACTTTTTACCTATAAAAGGCAGTCGGGGAAATGAATCAGGAGTAGATTTTAGGCCAGGATCAGAACGCATAGCAATGCACAAACATAAGCTTACACCCGTTCTTCGGTATTCTTCAGCTGTATAAACAGCATCACTTCCGATGGATATCTTATCTGCTCCGGACCGGAAATATTCTGATGCAACTTCAAGACTCGAATAATGCCTACACAAAATATGAAATTAAATATATTAGTCTTTGTTAAGCTCGATAGACATGTAAAATAAGAGATTCACATGAGAATCATCACGGGAATCATCATGGATCAGAATAAGGCTACATCTCAATCCCATAAGTATGCAAATGATTCTTTGACTGGAAACAGATTGAAGTTTTCCATGAGAAGAAACTGTGAAGCCATACCTCCCATTTGCATCTGTGAAGTCCCTTATACCTCCACCTACCGTTAGTGGAACAAAGACATTTTCAGACGTATAACGTAAGACCTGCAATGTATATATAATAGTGAATACATGGGTAAAGAGAAATTCTACAGAGAAACAACTCAAAAATGTGAACCAAAAAAGGAGAATCTAAGAAATCTATCACAGGAACTATAAGCCTTTTTCTTTTTATTACTTAAAAGGAATATATGCCTATAAATCTCATTCATTTTTCTGAAAAGCTAACTTCCTTACCTTCAACATTGGCAAATCAGCAAGAGGGAAGTCACGGAAGCCTGTTATGTTAAGAAAAGTGACCTACAGTGCAATCCTTGCTTTTAAGAGCTCAAACTATCAGTTTGTACAGGTCCTCTACATGCATACTAGCATTATTTGACAACATACACACATACCTCATCAGCACCATCCACATAATATTGCCCTGCCAGCTGAACAGGCTTGCCAAGGTTCCTCACCTTAAAAATTCAGGTTTCAAACAATACACAACAGAGGAGACATTAAAGTTCATGAAGAAGCAACAAAATCACAAGGAGATACCATAGCAAAAATAGTTTAATGAAAAAACTGTCAAAGCAGCATGTACAATGTGCAAATCCAGTAAATAATAAATTAATTAAAACTTTAAAATCAAGTATACATAGGGTACCTCATGCTCCTTCGTGTGATCTCTCACATCGTACTGATCTCCTTTAGTGACAACAAGGTCTCCTCTATCATTTGTTCGTACATCAAGGCAAGCAATTACCTAGAAAATTGAAATAACAGTGAAAAATGCAACTACTAAGTTTCTGTAACAGGAAAATAAGGTTGATCGTGCAGACTCAATCAGATAGTACATCCAAGTCCAACACAAGGCAATGAGATTATAACCAAAATATATTAAAAATTACAAAGTTTTAACAAGGGAGGCAACATGAAATAAAGTTAAATGAAAGAATTACATATTTCAAGACTCAATCTCTTACTCTCTTCGCAAGCTTTGATGCTTTCTGTTCAGTCTGCTTCTGCATTTTACATCAACTTTCCCATCATGAAGTATTTCACAAAATACACGAAATACTGAAAGCCACCAGCTACATACTTTGAATTACTCAAAGCTTACCTCTCCTACATAAGACGTATTTGTACCCAAGAACCTTCTCAATATGGAAAGCCCGACATCTGTAACTCATTTGTGATGACAAACAAAAAGTCATGCAGATGTAAATGGTGAAATGCTACTAATATGTAAATATTTTTGGTATCATACAAAAATCTTAAAAATATCCAAATTTAAGAATAATGCTTTCCATTCTGTGACATTTAATATAAAGCACAACCTAGCAAAGATCAACTTGATCAGATTTTACATTACAATGCCAAAAATGAAAGTGGCACAATCAGCAGTAAGGTAATCAAAGTCAAAACTAGTAGAGAAACAAAAGGAATGAAATTTTCTACAGCCTATTTTTTGTAATGGCCATGTTGCTCCATTTTTTTTATATTCTTTTTTGGAAGAAATTATTGCTTCAATATTCAGTTATGTAAGAGGATATCACCACATAAATTGCACAAGCAATCTTCTTTTTCCCAGAAACTTAAAAAGCAATGCTAAAGCTCTGAGCATAAACATGTAAGAAAATTAACTTTCAGAAAAGAAAAAAAAAAACATGTAAGAAATCGAAGCACATATCCTTCAATCAACTAACTAAAAAAAATGAAACAAATAAAATTAATTAATCCTCTCAAAAGGTCAAAGGAAATTACTTACCACCACTCTTCTCTGGGTGAAACTGGACTGCATGCACGTTACCCTTTCTAATAGAAGCTATAAAATCATCACCATAAGTGCAAGTTGATGAGATCCATTCCTTGTTGGCATCCGACTGCATCAAAAACCATATAAAGGACTTAAATCAAACTAAAAGTAGCAAAATGCACAAAAAGCACCACCACTTGCAGACAACCAATATAAGTCAACGTCAACAAACACTACAGAGTGCATACAGGCATTGCACGGTAGGAGTGAACAAAATAAACATGCCTCCCTCCAATATCTTCCAAAATTTCTGAGTCCTGAGTGGTTTGCACAGCATTCCAACCTATATGGGGTACTCTGAGCCCATTTGACGAGTCAAAACGCCCAACCACACCAGGTATAATGCCTAATCCTTTCACTGAAACGCATACCAAAATCATCAAATAAGCAAATAAAATGAATGACATCAAACAAATATACTTGGAAACCTACTAAGAACCTAGATAAATAGTCATGGATCCAAGTATCCCATAAATACATAAAAAATTTCAGTTTCTGCTATACATAAGCATTTGATAAGTTATAAAAGAAGGTTGACAAGCACCATCTAACATAAAGGAAATGGTAGCTTCAAGAATGCATCTTATATAGGTACTAAATATGTCATATAAGGACTATCAACATGATCCATTAGTAGCCTCTAAACATGACTCCTAATATATAACACGGACCATGGCTAACTCACCTGGACCTGCCCAAGGCATTTGGCTCCAAATGGAGGTATCAAGGGACCAGCATCATTCAAACCAAACATCAAGTAGCCCAAGACCTTTTTGTGGCTGCAAATAACTAGCCTAGGCAGTACCAGGCCCAAAACTCCGTAATACAATACCAGCACATTTTAAAACCTTTAGGCCACAGGTAAATTTAGAATATTCATATCAAGTGATGCATATAACTCTCCCTCGATCAAAAGATGCTAGTCAATATCTTCTTTCATTGACAGCATGACTAAAAAGGGATTTGAGGACTATTCCTAATAGAAAAAAATTCAGATGCTTATTTCACTGGAAAAAGTTCTATTAAAAGATAAGACATAACATAAAACAAAGTTCAGATGCTTATTTCACACATACACACACAAAAAGGCTCTTCTAGAAAATTCCAAATGAAAACTCAAAAGAAGGGAAGAAAGGAGTAATGCTTATCTTCTGTCTCAGTAGAAGTCTTGACCAGCTTTACTACTTTATGAAAATGCTCGAGTATGGGAAAAGGGATCTTAGTCTAAAGGCTTCAATACAGTACAAAGAAATGATGGAAGAAACAAACAGTAAATGATATAAAAAAAAAAAACAGCATCACAATAGAAAACGTATGTTTTTAAACCATCTATAGCCAAAGCTACACCAAGACTGAAGGTCAGCAGTGTGGAGTCAGACCAAAGCCAAAACGTACAGAGTTGGCAAATTTGGACAACCAATTCCTCAAGGTCAGCAGTTTGGAGTCAGACCAAAGCCAAAACTTACAGAGTTGGCAAATTTGGACAACCAATTCCTCAAAGTCAGCAGTTTGGAGTCAGACCAAAGCCAAAACTTACAGAGTTCGCAAATTTGGACAACCAATTCCAGCTGAAAATATTAACCACCACACTACTCAAGTTTGCTTTCTGAAATTTCACTTTCTCCTACAAGTAGGTAGTGAATGCCATCAATAAAGATCGAAATTAAACTAAAAATAACCATATTATGGGGGCCACACCATGAAAGTAAACAATTCAAACTTGAAAAACTTTTGAAAGTTCACTGTAACGGTAGGACTCAGAGATGTCTTGACAGAAATATAAGTGCCCCCACCACCCATTCCTCCTCCACTACCCCATGCTACCCCCCCCCCTTTTTCGTTTTCAAAAAAGAAAAAAGAAAAAAGAAAGAGAATCTGGGACCTCCCTTCCCTAACCATCTGTGGAGAATAAGCAACTGGTGACAGCTCCAGGTGAAAAATGGGATCCCTAGTGGAAGCCATAGCATTCAGCAATTAAAAATTATGGAGATACATGAATCATTAAATAATTGACTAACTTACAAATTACGAAGCCACCTTTGAACTTCAAAATCATATTTTTTGTATTCATTAATGGTATCAATATCAGGGCAGGTATCGAAGCACACATAAGAAAAGAAAAGACATCAAGGTCATTCATGAAATAGTATCAAGGTCATACCTCAACAGCAGTGTTTAAATCTGAACACGTCGACTCGTGACTTACCCCAAGACCCTGGCAAGTCCCATAGTTAAACCACGAGACTCACCCAAGTCCATTACTTTTCAGCCCTTTTCATGTGTTTTGGTCATAGAGCCATTGAGACTCATTCAAGTCAAACCGGTCTGACTCTTGGTGAGTCACGAGCTGACTGAGTTTTAAAACGCTGCTCAATGGTAAAAGGAACTGGAAACCATACAAGCATCAAGAATCCACCTGGCCCATTCTCCTCGCTAGACTCAAAAAGTAGTTGCAGCCCAAGACAAATGCCAAGAAAAGGGCGGTTGTTCTTTATATAGGTACAGAGTGGTTCAGCCATCCTACATAAAGAAGCATCACCTTGAGAGTTATAAGCTTTCTTTGTAGAACATTATTGGCACATCAATATAGAACACCACAAAAACATAGGAGCAATTGAAAAAAAGGCTACACAATAAAATATCAGTGGCTCAACGACAGTTATAGGAGAATACACCTACAGGAATAAGGACTAAGGAAGACCTTAGAAGAAAGGATTATACATTCTTAAACTGACAATATCTAACAAGGACAGATAGTTGAGCATCAATAGGAAACAAGTGAACAAGACATAATCTAAACATCACTTAGTCCAGCTGAGTCACAGACAATCTCGAATGAGGGAAGCAGGTCCTGAGTCACAATGATTTTCAACAATTGGGATCCAGAACCGAGTCGATCATGATGAGTCATGATACAGTTCACAAGATTTCAAAACAACGATGTAAAGAAGTACGTCGAGCAATTTGCATACCACCTCTGAAAGCTATCTATAAAATGATGACATAGAGGACAAGACATGGAGCATCACAAGCAGGCTAGGTACCGTACTACCATCTTACAACTGGAGGGGAATAAGGGGATAGATTGGTTTTCAAACTACAAGGCTTGCAGGGTTTTCGCAATTAACTCAATGTCAATATTATCAAGTTACTTCTTTTTTACTTGTTTATAATAGCATGATGTTTGGTTGGCAATCCAGAAACAGCTCTCAATTCGCGATAGTTTCCTTTTTAGCAAAAACAAAGCAGAAGAGATGGTTAGAAACTGCATGATTACTGAAAATGAGATAGTATGAAAACCTGTCCAACGACTCTATTTTTTCGTTTATAAGTACTATTGCAGCTCTTTGATACCAAAAGGGTGCTTCGGTACCCTTGGAGGAGTATGCCACAAGATTGGGGGACACCAAATGGAACCAAAGAATTCCATAAAAGGCATGTGTTACCATGGAAAAAAATTTTGGGGCACAGGCAGGATACAGTATAGTTTCAAGTGAAATAAACAGTTTGCCAATCTCCATTTATGACGATACAAAATGTGTTGCGATTGGCAGGTTATCGATCGACAAAGTTAAGCCATTGATTTGAGGAGTATTTTCAAAACTTGTTTTACACATATTGACAATGAAAATTAGAATGAAAGCTTAAAAAAAGTAAAAGAGAAAACTTGGATACTCATAATGCGCAGCTTCGCAAGATGAAGGGAACTGGTTTGTTACCGATAAGTTGTAATAGCACCTAGTATTGAGTGCTTCCAAAGAAAACTAGACCATCAAGAAATCAAAAAAACAAGAAAAAAAAGGTTTATTGATCTAAAGAAATAATAATGCTTATTGTGAAGCGCTAGTTTCTATTTTCCATGCTATTGTGAAGCATCTTCCTTCATATAGAAAAGCAAATAAGCACACAAATTGGTATATAAACAAGCTTTACTAAAAGCATAGAATCTACCGTCTCTCAGTAAGCACATCCATTGCAGCGGCAAAAGCCCCAACACCGGGAAAGATGAGGCGATCTGCTTCAAGTATGTCTTCTGGTTGTTGTACCTGTCAAAAACATTGTTCATTGAAAACAGAAATGATATGAAGAAAGTTTCTTCTCACAAGGGTAAATTACAGCAATAAAATGCAAAAAACCAGAAAAAGAAGCTCTACATTTCCTCTCACCTTCTACAAAGAATAACTCTATCTACAAATGGAAGGCTACCCTAGACAAAAATATTGATCACCAAACTCAGAATTAATTTCATAACTACAGTTTGGCCATACTACATGAAGAAAAGAAGGGTTCGACCACATGATAGAAGGAATCAAGCAAACAAAAACCAGCATACAAAAGCAATATGCACTACAGATTTTAGTGAAATTAAACTTCCCATGAGCATCAGCTTGAATGAATAATAACTTGATCACAAAATAAAGAGAAATGTATAAGTCAAGAAATGATAAGTGACAACGTGGCAAGAGGCTTCAAATCCAAATAGCATCCTTCTTCACGATAACCTACAATTTTATGTTTTACTAAAAGGTTTAAGGTATGGGTGATTTTGGAACAATTGGCTCAATGAGATCCAATCTCCGAACTTCACCAATTTACTGTAGTGCAATATTCTTCTAATCTTCCTCATTCACATCCTTGAAGGCATTGTGCCCAAAGCAGCATAAGGTACCCACCGGCAAATTTTTTATTTTTATTTTTATTTTTCTTTGCTTCTCTTCTCATCATCAATAATAACCATTTTTTTCAAGAGATCATCACAGCAATGTATGTTTCCAATAAAATAATTGGTGGTCTAATTAAAAGAAATTTATGGTTTTGATAACTCCCTCAAAATAAAAATACATGTTCTCAAAGTGCTTCCATTCCTAACCAGTCTGCCATCAAAACCAACATGAACTGGAAAAGGAAATTATTTCTTGGTAATGCTTGATTGTATCAATAAACATTTAAGCATTTGGGCCTTTTGAAAAATACCCACGAACATTCTATAAGCATCTCTCTTTCCATTTCTAAATATGAGTAGAACAAAAACCGTAAAATACAGTAAAAGTTCAATTGAAATCTCAACTAAACTACAGATTTTAAGTGATTCAAGTGGAAGAAGGGTGAGAATTAACTCACGTCTTTGATTTCGAATCCCAAAGAACGGATTGCATTCCGAACACTTCTAACATTGCCAGCACCATAGTCCAGTAAAGTAACCACTGCACCAAAAAAAAACAAGTTTAGAGAGAGATAGAGACAGAGAAAGCGAGAGAGAGTTTATTTTGGAAGTAACCACTGCACCCAAAAAAAAAGTTTAGAGAGAGTTTATTTTGAAAGAAGAAACACTTGCCAGAATCACCATTTCTGGAAGCGAGAATTACAGTGTGCTTGAAACGATGATTCTTTAAAGAAAGGACTGAAGGTTGAGAGAGAAAGAAGAGAGAGGATTGAGAAGGTAGGAAGGTGGAAATGCACGAATTCGAAATGTTCGCCGCCTCCATAGTTGCGCACAGAGCCATAGAAAGAGAGAGAAGGGGGTTTTGGGTATGTTTTCTTACCAGGGCTTCATTATGTAAAAAATTACGAACACTAAAAAAATGTGGCGGCCCACGGGCTGGTCCAGTCCTATTTCCCCGGGATCGGCCAAGGGTCGGCTTGGGCTCGACTGGGACGGGCCAGGTGAAACTCTAGGAAAACAAAGCAAAAAAAGATGATAAAAATAAGAGCATGAACAGGTTGAATTCGGCCGGTCCATACCTGTCTTGGCTTAACCCATGCCCTAATTTTTGGGCCGGGTGCTATACTCGGCTAAAAATAAATGGGATTGCATACTATGGCCTGAGGTGCCTCACAAAATTCGAGAATATTTTTTTCAAACTTTGAATCTCGTCAATAACACACTTACAACTCCCAATTTGAAATTTGATGGACGAGTGTGATTGTCACCTTCTTATATAAAAAATAACGAAACATGTTTATATAAAGTTGTGGCAGTTGTTTCGATGCCAAAGACCCTCAAATCCGATCATCTCAACTTTGAGATACATAGACCTTAAAGTAAAATGGATTTCAAGTTTTGAAAACAGTGTGTATTATAATGTCCATACCATCAATTTTCAAGTGTTCATAGATTTTTTTATCTATATTGTTTTTGAAGCTTTAAATTTTATACCTAAAAATGAAAATGAATTTTCAAGCCATTGTACAGCTTTTCGATATTGAAACAATATCTTTCGATAATATTTGAACGTGTGCTTTATTTTGGTTGTTTAGAGCCTTAACCTTATATAAACTACATCCAAAAGTAAATAGTCTCTTTGTATATTTTTTCAAAACAAATAAAACAAAAGTAACAAATAAGTATTTTAACTTACCAACATGCATCATACCCTTAATTGCAGTTTAATATATGTAAAATAGGATTGCGACAATCACATGAAAACATGATTAATCCAACAATTTGTAAATGAATTCTGAATTTGAGAGCTTCTAGTTGGAAAAAAGGGATAATTTCATTACTTTCGAGCTTGACACGGGCACTGTTTGCACATAAGCCCGTGGCATGAATCTTCTTTACAATCCTTTGTATATATGCATCACACATAAGCACATATAGGGACCTTTTAGGGCCAGTTTGTATCGACGTATAACTACTGGGCTGCCTTTCTTATTACTGATGGGGATGGTAAAAGAGTATTTAGGTTTTTGTACCTCGATCTCGAGCTTGTTGGATTTCATGTACAGCTCTGGTGGATTTATTGTATATAAATGTGTCACACCAAACGGCAAGGAAAAGGTCCTACACGTATGTAGCCACATTATCCCAGACTTATACGCCATCCAAACATACCCTAAGTTTCTTGAAGTTTCGTAGCATTTTCTATATATGTTTGTAAAACAGTTTGGGCATGAAACTTTTATGATGGCTCAAAAATCTATTTTCACTATTGATTATGAAATTTTGTAGCTCAAAAATTGATATGGATCTCACGGATATTTGAACATTGAAAATAAACGTCATCTTTTATGATATACATTATTTTTAGAGTTTGAAATCCTAATCTTTTTCAGGTCAAAATCAAGATGATTGATTTGAAGGTTTTCCGATGTTATCACTAAAAATTTTTGTGATATGAGGTCTTTATTTCTTCTTTTTCCATAAAAGGTAAGCCCTTATTTTAACCTTTTTCTTTTCAAAGATGTCTGATGTTACTGAGAGTTCTATAAAATTGTTGGAAACCTAAAATATGCTTGTTAATTAATTGAACATGCCCAAAGATTTCATCATAAGCATGAGATTAAACCCATTAAGTTTGCCTGTGTGAGAGAGATGGGCACAAGAATCTCAGAGAAGAGAGAGATGTAGAAATGAAGACCAAGTGACAAAGAGACCAACTTCATAACAAAATCGATTGAAACATTGGTTTGCTACATTCCCCTTATCAGGGGGATGTCACAAAGGGTACAATAATCAAATATTTGAGATGACAGAGAGGAAAAATTGGTGGAAACTTTAGTATGAACTTTAATGGAGGCCACAACACAGAGATAGCCATGTAGAAACACCCCCCTCCCTCATGTGGATGTGGCGTCGGAATCTGTATCACTAGCAAAGAATGAGATTCGCACACAGATGCATGCACGCGCACATAGATAACTATGATAAAGGGTTCTCGCCCCTTAGGGGACCTTGAGGACTTGGCCCAACAAGCAATGGACCTCTTTAGTTCTTGTTGTGCAGACCATCTATGGCTAGATCTAACCCTTTAGTAATTCACAATTAATTTCTATTTTCTATTTTAAATTGTTTTTATGGGGAGACAGTATACAAAAATTGCGTCAAACAAATCCCGTAGAGCCTTGATCCAACACTTCCGGTTCTTTCTTAAATTGAAAAGTGCATTGCATTTTCTCGCCTTTTTCAATTGTTTATGACAAGGAAAGCACCTTGCGTTTTGTCTCCCTTGAGAACCGCATCGTTGGTATTTTTTAATTGTTTTTTCTATTTTTCCTCGAAAGCCTCGTCCTTCATATTTTTTAGTAGTTTTTTATTTTTTCCATGCGTTCAAGAAGATATGAGTGCCAAATTTGGGATGAAACAAATACCCTACCCTAAAAAGGAGGGAGGACGCTATAGTAGTCCGTGATATTTTTCCAATTTATTTGAAAGGTTACATAAGGTTGCCAACCTCAAAAAATCACAGTAACGCGCACCTCTAATCTTTCTCAAAAGATGCAATTGTAGTGTCAAATTTTGTTACGATGATATGAAAATCTATTTTCATATTCAATTATGAAATTGAAAGCTCAAAAAATAATGTGAATTATTTAAAAATCTTAAAAATAGACAGCCCAGATAATATGTTACAAGATGCACTCTTTTTATGGCTTAAATCATTTTCTATTCCTGTCCATACATTTTAAGGTGGATTCAAAGGTTTTCTAGCACATAAACTACTTTTACCAATATATTTTTGACATGCTCCTTCATTCTAGAGTATAAGGTATAAGATTGATGACTTACACAAACTTTTTCCTTATTAAATTCAGTTGAACATTCTAATGAGTCTATGCCCCCAAGTTCCAATTATAAAAGATTTGGGAACAATATTTAACGAGTACATGCTTGAACTTTAAACTATAGGGGGATTAGGAACATAAGAAAACCAATAAGCAAAAGAAGCATCACAAGAGCTACGACAAACATTACAAACAAAAGCAAAATACAAAAGCAAGGTTTATCGCCATGCCCCATTTATTTGAGAAGCTCATTGCATGAAGACTGGGGGCTCATCTGTACATCGAAGGAGGCATAGGAGGCACCGGATGTGGGACATTTGGTGGACCCTTCCAGCCTAATTTTCAAAAAAAAAATAAAATAAAAAAATTATTGCATGATTATCAATGCTGATGTTCAATAAAGGAAAATAATTTGGTGAGTTAGTGGACTCACTTAGTTATGTGTGCCCCCCTCTAAAATTCTTTTTAAAGATGGATTTTTCAAAAATCTTAGGGTTTGGTAAAATGGGAGGAATTTTCAAAAAAAAAAAAAAAAAAGAAGAAAAGAAAAGAAAAGAAGAAGAAGGAGAAAAGCAGCCCCTTGAATTCAAAATTTCTCTATAGCAAACCACTTGGTTCTCGACAACTCGAAAGCATTCCTGATGTAAGAACCAAAAATCCTCTTCATTTGTTCTGGTATTTCAGGAGTACAAGTGTTTGACTTGTTAAAATTGATCTTATTGATAGTTTATGAATTAGTTTAAGCGATTATGAGTCGGCTCGTCTATTTTTCAATAACTAAATAAAAGAAATGCAAAAAGAGGAGGAAGGATTACCTTGAGATGCGTCTATTCCCCGGTTCTTGAGCTCTGCATATTCTTGACACAAAGCACAGGCATCGCAGCACCAATGGACACAAAAATCATTACAGGGCTCCTCGGGGAGATTATACTTCTCTCGGAGCCTACCACGATATGTACATGAGTGTAGACAATGGCACCCCATAGTCCACAGTAATCCATAAATGAAACCATGGACAAGACATGCTGCACAACCAAAAATGAAACAGTAGAAAAGAAAAAAAACAAAAAAAAAGCTAAAACTCATTCTAAAACTAGGGTCTCAATATAGAGAGAAGGAAAAGAAATTGCTAAAATCTCAAAATTTGACAGAAGTCCTTATTTTTGTACTCACATGTATGTCCCTCATCCAGGACTTCTGCAATTTGCCCAAAAGTAATGCAAGGAAGAACGCATGTTATGCAACCTGTGACACCGAACATGCAAGAAATGTTAGACAAAATGGGAGGCTGATGATCCTGGGCGCAAAACCATGGAATCGAATCGCCTGGTTTTGCATTTTCAAAAATTTTGGTTAAATATAGTTCAGTCCAACTAGGACTTGCCTAAGTCGGACTCAGGGACTTGGGCTTGGAGCCTTCCGACTCAGTGTCTGATTACGATTTTTGAAACACAAGCTAGAAATGTGTTGAAACTTGAGAGGGGGAAAAAACTTTTGATAGAAAATTTAACAAATGCACAGAATTCATATACATAAGACTCCATCATCACAGGAGCCAGTGAGAGATGTGGTCCACTGAGGTGGTCTTGAGCTTGCAACATTCATGGTGGGTGAATGAGAAGATTGGCATCAAGGGGCTATGTAATTAAAATTATTAGTGAGTATCTCTTGCATAACATGGTCTTATATACTAGGAGCCATGGGTTTTTTATTTTGTTTTATTTTAGTTTCATGTTAAACAGAGATTAATCAATAATTATAAGATAGTGAAGTATGAAAAGAATGAGATTGGCGTTTCCATGGAGTTATGTTCCACATGGACAAAGAAACTTTAGTCCAAAACGCGTAAACATGATTTGTGAAATTAAGCTAACTAATTGTTTTTTTGTTTGTTTAAGCTGGTGGATTAGTTATCCAAATCTCAATATAGACTCTACATTTGGCATTTCATAGCTTGGAGATGATAACTATGAGCATATTCCATAAGTTAATTTGATACTTTTTTTTATTCTACATCGTATCGTATGCTCCTGCGGGACCAGCTTAGGAACAATTTAAGATCCCAGATTTAATGTGGCCTACTCAACCTAAAAACACTCCTAAATTGCAGTAAAAAAAAAAAATCACACTCTATGCTTACATTGTTTTGATTTTTTTCGAGATGGAAAGAGTTTATACAAGGTTGCAACCTTAAAATATAGAATTAAGGTGCACATCAAATAATCCATCATAAAAGGTTGTTTTGATATTGGAAAACCCTCTAATTGATCATCTCAACTTCAACAAGTATGAATACGAAAAGAGAAAGAGAGTTCGAGTCATAAAAATAGTGTATCTTGCAACACATTATCTTGACCGCCTATTTTTTCAATATGTTCATGTATTTATAGATCTACTTGATTTGAACCATTTTTAGAGTTTAAAATTTTATAATTAGAGATTTTAATAGATTCTCGAGCCATCCTAAAAACTTTTTACACCAAAATTATAGTTATGATAAATTTAGAGGTACGTCTTAATTTGATTGTTTAAAGTTGCAACCAATTATAAAGGAAACATGTCTAAAGATTTTGAAGGATATTAAAAAGCCATAGTCTTGAGTAGGTCGTTTGATAAAATGAGTTATCATCATTATGAGTTTTTGTCCAACTATTTGAGATCAACTACATGAATTATAATCCGTCATTCTACTCTAATTTGGTAAAAAAAGTAAATAAAAAATTTACTCCGGCAGGATCATAATGCAAGGGCTAGGTGGCATCCTTTAGACCGGTCTTTCCATGCTTTCATAATTGAACGATCAATTGCTCCGAGATTGCCTGAAACGACCTCCATCTCAACTATTGACTTAGAAAAGTGGAAAGATTTCATGCACCCATTGGAGTATACTGTCTATTGCTCCCTCGGGCAAAACTCAAGGTAGGAATATCTTTTGGATCCTAAATTTTAGGGATGCAGTCTCTAGAACCCAGTAACCAACCTCAAGAAAGAAAAAAAAAATCATGTTGCAATCTTGATGTGCTTAAAAAAAAAATGCAGTATTGAGATTGAACAAGAACCCTCTAATCTTTGGAGGGAAAGATCTAAATGTTCAAGAAGTTGAAATCCATGTTTTTTCTTTAAAATAATAATCTAGTTATATCTAGCTGGATCCCAAATTTTTTAGTCTAAAAAATTCTCCTAGTTGTCTATTATGTCAGAGGGAGTTGTTGTACAGTATGCTCAGGAGTTTTGCTTTATACGCGGATGAAACTATAGAAAATGCATATTAGTATTGGGATTTGTGGATGAGATCGGGGGAATTGACATAATATTTAGTGGAAACAAAAAATAGGCTCCATTTTGATATGTTCATAGACTATGTGAAAGAGTCGGGCTATTTTATCAGGAAATCAAGTGATTTAATTAGCCAAATTTCCAGTTTCACGCCCATTTTATTATTTTAGTTTTGAAAATTTTCATTTTTATATATGAAAAATAGTATCTACAATTTCTTTAAACAAATTCCACCATATGATCCAGTCCCATCCGATCCAGCCACCGAGGTTTAAAAATATTGCTCTCCACCGAAGTTTAAAAATCAGCAAACCGGATTGAAGCTGGGTTTGTTTGGATCAAGAATCAGTCAATCAAGAACCGTTCAATTTCCCCTATGAATAAACCAACTCTTTGACAAAACCCAACCGATTTGTCAAAGAACCACTTACACTTTATTTTTTAATATTTTTAAATTTTTAAAATTTTTTATTTGTCAATTCTCTAGGTTGCATCGCCGATCCGACAGCAGGTTTTCCATAGGGGCAATTATGGTCACCGAACCTTGGTTTTCAAACCTCGTTGAAAAAAAACATTGACGAATGCCTGCAAAGGCCACTGATGCACGCAAATGTTTGCTTTCCATAGAATAAAAATGAGGGGAACAGTTTGGAGCACATGCCACAAGTTCTCTAAGCGCCTCTTGCCGAGCCGGGACTAGGCCCGGCATGGCCCTACCATATGTGCACATTTAGCGGTGTTTATATAAAAAAAAAGTCATAAAACTGGACCTCTATTTTTTATGGACACGGTTTCTATGCGACCAGCCGGCATATTGTAGAAATGCAGGTTGGCAATAAATATTTATTTTAAATATAATTTGATCTTAATTTTTAGATAATATATAATTTTTAACATGGAGATTATGAATATGAAAAATAAAATAAAATTAAAAACTAAAAATAATATTTATATTAAAAAAAATTTTGAATCATGGGTGACACTTGTTTTTAGACGGACCACCTATTTGCATCCATCTTTTATACCTTTGAACAGCATATTATAAAAATACAATCCAGCCCACATGAAATAATTTTCCAGTTTTTATAAGGATTATATACAATGAGACAATTTACTTTTGAAATAGGGAGGTCAGAATTACTTATAACCATCAGATACGAAATCTGATAGCTTGGATGCATCATAAAATTCGAGAAAATTTCTTTTCAACTTTAAGCTTGATCAATAAAATAAATGTAACTACCTAATTTCACATCCAATGGTCAAGATTAATTATGACCACCTTATAGAAAAGATAAATAATCTCATTGTATACTATCCTTTTTTTTATAAATAACCCAAATAATTGTACACTCCCTCCGATGTTACACTATCAAGTAAAACGAAATCTAGGAGTAATTTTAGGATCCCAAATTTTCAGAATGTAAAATCGTCAATCCACAAAACAACCTCAAAAAAGAAAATTCCAAATCCAAATGACCGTCTTTGTGCACTTGAATAAATAATGCCATTTAAGGATCGAAGCGAGTCTTTTTTAGCGTAGATCTAAGTATCATAAACAGAAGACCAACTTGGAAGAATTTTTCCAATATTAAATTTTTGAAAATCACTAGAAAATTACTATGATGATTATTCACAAAAACAATTGAAATTTGAATTTTCTAACACCGATATCTCACTATCTAAGAATTAGATGGCCTCTATTCAATCTTAAGATATGATCTTTTTCAATTGCATAAGAGGGTACAATTAGAAAAAGTTTCTTATTGAGGTTAATCTCCAGGTTGAAGAGGTTACTTTTCCACAATTTGGGGTCCCAAACTTAATTCTAGGTCGGCTTTTACTGGTGGGAGTAGATGTACATTGTAGTCCCAGGGTAGTAGAAAAAAAAAAATGATTTTATGTTAAAAACCCCGAATAAAAAGAGAAATCTGAAAGCAATACGGAACCCCCAAGAGTTAACACTCACTGAATAAAGACAAACCCAGCTATAAAAACTTTCCCAAAAATTAGAAATGGAAGTTATATATATACATGCATGTATAAAAAAACAACACTAGCAATGTGTGCATGCCAATGCTAAATCTCATTTTCCTCTTGGAGTAGCCTCTGCAATGCTCTTGGAGTAGCCTCTGCAATTCCAGACTCCAGCCAAGGACCTTGAAGCTTTAGGTCAAGGAGAAGCTTGCTTTCTAAGCCACATAACTTTGCCAGGCTTAATTATTTTCAGGTAGCCTTTAGTGCAAAAAATCTTTCATGGGATCGTCGTGGTGAATTTTCTTCATCCTGTAAGCTTCCATATCCTCAGCAGTGACCTGCAATCCCAATAAGAGTAGTTCAGTTGCTGGACTTAGTTCAAGCTTTTTTAGATTTGGATCTACGAATTACAAGGATGTGGCTAGTCTGATACAACATTGCTCTGGTCTGTCTCACCTCAATTTGGTTTGATATATTTCATATAGAGTACCGGAATATTGGTTCAAATTACTCTCTCTGGGAAATGATCGCAAATGAACAGGTATGGAAGCTATATATAATTTCATTGTAAACCACGATCCCTTGCATTACAATATGGGAAAGTTAGGGTTGGCAATGGACCCGGACCTGACTTGGGTCCAGGTATGGGTCCAAGAATTGGACCTGGTGGATCGGATCCATGTCCAAATATTGGATCCAAACACTATTCGGGTCCAGTTCTGGGAGATGAACAGTGTTATTATTAAATATATTATATTTTAATATTATTTAATTACTATTTAAATAAATATAACTATATATTTTTAGTTATAAAATTTAAATAATACACATATATATTTAACAAACATTTAAATATTTTAAAATATATATATATATATTTTTTTTTTGGGTCCGGTCCAATCGGGACCAGGCCTCAACCCGCTGTCACCCCTAGGAGAAGTACAGTGTGGATGATGTAGTCATGAACTCATGATAAAAATATGGTCATAAAGATTATAACAGTCCAATTAATGGATTGGAGGGTGGAGTGTAGGATGTATGATTTCAATTAGTGGCATGTTTAGTTGGATGCTCTCACACTCTATCACCATCCAATCCATTGATGGGACGGTCATGACCCTTATAACCATGGCGTCAGCAATTTATGATGAACATATGGCTCACACTATACCCTCCACATAATAAAAAATATAACCAAAGAAGAAGATACAATACCTCATCATTCCATTTCACATTATATTTGCGCTTTCGCTCATCTTTCTCTTCTCTCCTCCTTTCCTCCTCCTGCCATAGCACAAACCCAGTCTCAGTAACCTTACAAACACCAGAGTTCTTTTTAGCAAAGTATATCATACACTAGGGGTGTAGAATAAAGGAGGGCTTTCTATGTGACCCTTGGTCTCAGCCATCAGATCTGAGTAGACGGCTGAGATGGCACGAGTCACAATATCATAAGCGAGCACTTAACCGTCAGGCTCATAGTTTTTTATTTTTTTATTTCTAATGTACAAATAACTTTGAAACAAAATTTGGGGCATGCATAAATCTGACAGAGGCGCACATGATAAAAATGATAATAAAATATTTCCAGAAATGAAAATTTACCAGAATACACCTGAAAATTTCAGGGGCATTTTGGTTATTTATTTTTATAGAAAATATTTTTTTTTTCCAGGTTCACGCTAATTTTATGATGGGACGCCCAAATTTTCATCCAAAAATGTTTTGCAGAAAAAAAAATGAAACATAAAACAGTGTTTGGCGTGACATTGTGGTATGAACAATCGTAGCCATTTGATTCAGATCGAACTGCTATGAAGTGGGGTCACATATATAAATTATATGCTGTTGGGGTCACATAGAAACATTCCCCTTGGAATAAAAGGTGCACTCAATGAATGGTGGAGATCAATTATGGATCTCATGACCATCATCTTAATCACCAACATCAATTGTTCATGAATAGTGGATGCCTAGATGTGTACCACATCCCATGCATAAACCGGCGTTTTCTGTTATTTTATAAACTATTCCTATGACATATGCTGTGCTTTAGGTGCATCACATTCTCACCTTCTTGAGTGATTCAGAGAGTCGTTTCTGGTCAAGAACAAGGTCACTAGGTGCATCTGATCCCCAAGTAGCAAGATTTTTCTCCTCAGTCTGTACAGGTTTCTCTGTAAAGCAAGTTGCAACATCATAGATTATCACCAAGGAATACAAATTATTTGACAAGCAAGAATTATACATGCCTAACCAAGGAATACAAATTATTTGACAAAAAAGAATTATACATGCCTAAAAACTGTGATTCAAACCAGCAGAGAGAGCATTGAGCATTTCACAAACCTTCTAAGGCTTCTTTTCGTGCCATGTTTTCTTTCATGAGATCATTTGCACCTTCTGCAGCTTCAATTCCAACTAAACCAATGCAGTAGCTATTCTTTATTGTTTGCTTGCAACACTTGTAGCCCCATTGATGGTCTTTCCACCAAGAACCCCATACACTTGTGTGATTATTAGTATATACATTCTCCTCATATTTGCTCTTGGGAAGAGATTTCTCCTATAAATATACCACAAAGTGTGAGCTATGCAAATAAAATAACAAATAATGGCGTAACAATACTTGATGTATTTCATGGTTAGAACAAAAGCTAAAAAACATAGATTAGATGCAAAAGTATGAAGACTCATCTAGTTCAATAAAAGCTCCATCCATCTTTTTCTCTTTTCTCTTTTAAATAAGTGACAATCAAAATTGAGCTTCACTACTAAAATGCCATATAGTTACTGTAGAATAAAGAAGCTACAGTTATGAAAGAAAACACTTGACAGGTTCCCTATTATAAAACACAAAATAACTCACCTGTCCCTTTATAATCCTTCCGGCACGATCATATTCAACCTCTCTCTCACTTTGACCTAAGAGAAGTTCCCTAGGAAGTTCTTCCTGAGAGGCAGCATTTCCATACTTCTCCATAATGGTATCTTTCACTTGAGACTTCAATTTTTCTTTTTTGATCTTAAATTCTTTGTAGAGCAACTCAGCCTGAGATGGAGCCGCTTGCATATGAATATCTTGTCCTTTTTCAAAAGCCTCCAAGGAATGCATGTTAAGTTGCTTAAACTCCAATGCTTGCCCACTGACTCTGTATTGGTTATCACCCTAAAAAATACAACACACTCATAAGAATATAGCGACATCTCAAGGCATGCCATTAACACCTTCAGCCCTGCCAGTAAGGGCAAATATAGTCCAACACACTTACTCCATAGAACTTTTCATTTGGATCACTATCCGGTAGAGGATCCTCTCGCATGGATCGCGTTTTTGGGTCGTAATGTGCCGAATTCACATCTAGATTCAAAAGATATTTTGCTGTGTCCTCTCGAATACGCAAATTCCTGTAAAAACATTTCATTAAAGATTAGCATACAAAAAGGTAAAATAAAATGTCAATACCTAAAAGAACTGTATAGATCATAAAGGTTGTCGAGAAACTTAATTTTAAACAATTTTTTTTTTCTCCTGGTTCTATGATTTTTAACAACTTGGATAAGATGTTTAGAAAAATAAAATAGCCATATGAAAACATGTTATCTTGATCTTTGCTCTAGACAATCTGCAAGATCTATGCAAATGTTCTAGGTACAGTACTGATATTTTCCATACATAGATAAGTGAAATATCAAAATTTACCCTTCATCACACAATTAGCCAAAAATGAGACTCGCATTTATCAAAAATATAAAATAAAAAAGTGCATTCAACACTGAGACATAAAAAAACCTACCTAACACTTCCTGTGCTTCCACCTCCTGTAGTGCGCACACGTTTTTCTACCTTCGCAAAATCCATTTGCTTGCTCTCATCAACCTTGGCTTCATCAACCTTCAAGTCATCTTCATCATCCTCCTCATCACTAACCTCATCCCCATTCTGATTATTGTTTTTCTCTTCAAGCTTTTTCAGCTGCTGCTCTTTAAGGTACTTTCTTCTTGCCTCATCTCTTGCCTCATATCTTTCAATCACACGAGCATAAGTAGATGAGTCATAACCATTCCAACGATCACGTTTCCCATCATAATCGAGTTCAAATGCCTCGACTTTCTCATCAGGTGCTATGTGTTTACTAGTCCACTTTGCTCCCAACATCCGAGGTCTATCCATGCATGACTTTGCATCATGGGTCATTGCCCCGCAGCTATAGAACCCACAAGGGTGGAAAAGATTATAATTTCATCATAAAATTCTCTATACAAGGACAAAAAAAGTTTTAACTATATAACTATTTAAATCCACAAAGGAAACAAAGATTAAAATTTCATCATAAAATTCTCTATACAGGGACAAATAGAAGTAGTGTTTCAGTACTCAGTCAAGTCCACTCGGACTCAACCAATTAACTCAGATTCGGCCTAGCAAGTTCAAGGAGCCAACTCGCCCTTGTTTAAAACTATTAAAAAGTCCAATTTTTACTAAGAATCTTAATTTTTTAATAATCCATCTTCTACATACTTTTGTGGACCTTTATAGACTTCCAATAATTATCTACTACGTAATGTACCTTTTTTTCTACTTTTATTATGGGACTTTGTAATTTAAGCTCAATTCCCACTTTTCGTCAATTTTTTTTATCAAAAGAGCCACGTGATTTTTTTTTTCTTGGAAGTGGGAAACAGGTTTGGAGGTTGGATATCCAAGCACATCCCACACTCAAGAAAAAAAAAAAGAGAAGTCACTTCGTTTGGACGTGAAAGATATATTGAATATCCGAAAGCAGCCACTTAGACAATTTCTGGAGTGAAAGACCAACTTCAGGTACATGCCATGCCATTTGAGGAGAGACCTAAAGAGAGTAGCCATCTATTCTCCCCATTCTTTAAATTTTATGTTTTTTAATGGAACATCCCTCACAAGTTGCTCAATTTTGACTTGGACTACTTCTCATTAAAACTCTTGCTCAATTTTGACTTGGACTGCTTCTCATTAAAACTCTTGGTTACAGTCCACGCATAATTATGTAGATCCAGCCATTTGAGGAGAGAGACATAAAGAGAGTGGCCATCAATTCTCCCCATTCTTAGAATTTACAGTTTCTTTAAATTTTATGTTTTTTAATGGAATATCCCTCACAAGTGGCTCAATCTTGACTTGGACTGAGTTGGACTAAATATCGGTCCCTTCTCATTAAAACTCTTGGTTAAATATATCTTATCCTCTCGAATTTATCCTCTCCTGGTTAAATATATCTTATCCTCTCCAATTTATCCTCCAATTCTAAGAAAGCAATAAAAAAACTAGAGAAAATTAATACAATTAAATCAAAATTCTCCACTTACTTTTCACATGCACCCTTTCTATACTTTTCTGCATGGAATATTTTGGCACCTCGATCATACCATGCCTTGGTGTAATTTGGGTCTGATTTCCATTTCCTTTGATGTTTCAAACTCTGATGAAAGAAATGTGATACATGTTAAATGTAGCACTTGAGCGTCCTCAGTTACTGTAAATAGATACATATAGAAAAGAACTCTGATGAAAGAAACAGAAGTCATGTGATACATGTTAAATGTAGCACTTAAGCCTCCTCAGTTACTGTAAATAGATTCATATAGAAAAGAACTCTGATGAAAGAAACAGAAGATAAATGTAGCACTTGGGCCTCCTCAATTACTGTAAATGGATACATAGAGAAAAGGGCTAGGTCAATTATAAGAAGACTTACAGGTCTTTCAGCATTGAGATACCAAGGCGCTGATGACATATACTGTGGAATATGCGGGTTGATCTCTTTGCCATCTTCATCAACTTCTGCAGGAGCAAGCCCTGCTTTTCTTGCCTCTTCCAACTCTAGTTGTTTGCGATGGTCTTCTCTGGATTTAAATGCCCCTGAAAAATGCCGAAAGAAAAGATTAAAATTTATGCTTCTCACTAATTGTCCATTATAATGGTACTTCTTTTTCAGCTTATACCCCATGATTAAAAAGAGAGATAACAACAACTCTTTATCTCCTCTAGTAATATCTCGAAAAAAATACTTAAATCCAAAGTCCTAAAGAGGTCAGGTTAATAAGAACCTCTTCCAAATTAGGGAATTTGCAGATTTGAGTTGGGCAAAGTTTAAAAGGGTTGGTCAATTACATTATCAAGAAGCACCCAGTGCCATAAAAAACTGAGAAAAACTTCCAGTTCAATCAAATCAGCCAGTTCTGGTCTACCAATTAATATTAAAAAAATACTGTGAACCAATATAAATTTTGTCGAGATCACCACAGCCAGTTTGGCCACTTCAGTAGTTGTTTTCTCTAGCTGTAATTGCAAGTAGTTGTCTCTAGCTGAAATTGCAACTAGTTGCCCACCATGTTCTGCTATTCTTAAATTATATAATTTAAACACCCATTTCAGGGTCAATTACAGGAACTAATGGGTCCAAGGGTCAAACCAGCCAGACTAACATACTGGATTGTTTCCATTTCTAATCCAGTGCAAAAGTCAACCGTCAAGCTGAGAAATAGTCCAATGGTCAACCAGGATCAGAATAGGGTCTACGTCAGGTAGAGGCAAACATCCAAATCTGATCTTCAGAAGAAAAGAGCGTAATCTAAAAATTGTTCACCATCAATGTCATATTTTCTTTTCTTTAGGAAAATTCTGCACCCTTGTCCTAATAAAATTACAGATGCATCACTGAATCCTACAAATCATATAATCCAAGCACAAGTAGAAAGAAAATAACTATGATTTTGATATATAAATATTGGTAGTTGAAGATCACTTGTAGGATGTCTAGGAGGAAACAAGGTAAACAAATCAATTGGAGCGTTATTCTATTCAATAAAATGGAGATTAAGCCCCGCCCGGTTAACATAACAATACAGCAAAAGTCGGCAATAGGAAGAGATACCCGATGATGTAGCCATTGCTTGTACGAGAAAATGATCCCTTCAAAATATTCTCTGAAACCAAAATGCATCAGCAGCATTAAGCATTGTCATAAAAGTGGAGAATCAGTGCATATGGTCAACCAAAAGAGCATAATTTTGAAAACTGAAATCCCGAAGGCCTGAATTCAGGAATACATTAAATCAATATCCAATATTCCTAAGATCGCTGCATCACTGGAGGTTTTCTTTTTTCTTTTTTCTTTTTTAAATAAAGTTGACCAAAGAAGATTTAGATAAACATAAGAAACAGGGTGCAAACTAGTTCTGGAATGATCAAGTATCAGCATCCTTAAATGACACCTGATCTTTTTAACACCTAACCAATAAAGACTCATCTTTTTTTAATACAAAATTACTGTCTCTGCTATATTTAAGTATGAAAATTAGACATACTAATTCCTGTCAATCTCTCTAAACATACACAATCTAGTCCAAAGTTCAAAAATTGAAGAAATTCAGAAAATAATACAGGACCACCTTATTTCTACGACTGTTAGTTAAATCACATGGTTAGAAGACATTGCTGAGAGTCAAGGACAGAAGGTTTACGTCAAAGAGAGGACAGTTTACTTGATCAAATAGTAATTCAATTACACCAAGTTCTTGCAGGTGGCACACTGACTAGTTGGATCTTAAAATATAAAACATCATCCAAAGTAATGGACGGTGCATTTCATAGCTTTCTTCTGCCAATTTAGAGAGAAATAGTGATTTTCTCCATAAATTCAAGCAATAAATAGTTTCTTTTATAACAAAATAATAAGAAATTTCCTTTAACAATTTTTTTGAGAAATTTCCTTTAATAGTTTTAAAACAGTTTATGGATATTTCAATTAATTTATTCCCATAGTATCCCTGTGTTTTTTATTCAAATTGAAAATACTAAACATCCTAAGATATTCAGGAGAAAGTAACCATTCAAAATTCTATTGCTCTTTGAAACCAAAATGAATAACAAACTAAGGAATTATCTAACTGGAATTAAACAGGCAATCATTCTATAACCATAAAATTTGAAATTCTGAGAACACAAAAACACTAAAAGAAGGAAGGCAACTACTTTAAAGACAGCTATCTTGTCTTAACTTCCAAAACTTGAAATACACAAGAAACAAAAACAAGAATCAGTTTCCATTATGGTTAAGAATTTGAATATATACAGTTCAACCTCAATCCCTTCAAAAATCCTACTAAAATCCTCTGTTTATAATATTGTAATCTGGCCTCTAAAAAATCATTTTTGTGGGATACACCATCTAGGATAAACTGTCCCACGAACTGCATAAAGCATGATAGTTAATCAAATCTCAGGCCAAATTAAAATAAACAAAGTTCCCAAGAATTGATTTGTAGTAGTATACAATACATTAAAGTCTAATTACTATAAACAAACAAGCACAAAAACTTGCAGAATCACATTAAATAAAACCCAACATCTTATATTTCACAGAAAATGGCACTCTGAAATAAAAATAATGGTAAATTCTCTTCTAATACATGGTTAAGAACCATTCAAACATATGAGAATCATACCTAAACCACAACAATGCCTAACTAAGATCACCTCAAACCATGCTTTAATTTTCTAGACAAGATCACCTGAAACCATGCTTTTGCAGAAGCACCCATAAACAACAGACCCAAAATACATGCCAGGAATAACCACAGAAACCTAAACCTACTTCCATCTAATTTGCTCAAGAAAAAATATGAAATCCAAACAGAACAATTTAAAGATGGAAACACTCTTCACTATGTATGTATAGAAAGCAATACAACATTAAGCTAAACCCTAATTTATCACAATGCCACAAACCAGGATTCTATCATATCATTAAATGAATATCTAAAGAAAAGCAACATGAAAATATACATGGTAAACATTGAAAGGGATGAAAATACATATATTTAACAGGAGAGACAAAATCCTAGGAACATCAAAATAAACCCTAATTTTTACAGAACTTGAGAAGATTTTTGCAGAAACTTGATAAGCACCACCTGAAGCGATTTATGCACAATAGCACCAAATACAATGATCTTGTAAACAACCCAGATTGCAACCCCCACTATGATCTAATACTTACTTGTGACAGTTTATTATTTCCGATGAAAGAGGGTTATGAGCGATAGTACCCATCCATTATCTTAATTTTGGAATGACTTGGAGGCTTATTTGATACTTTTGAGAGTAAATCTGACTCAGCTCTTTCTAGTTTCAGGACAAAATTGAAAAAATAATAATAATTTCAACAAACAGTAGAAATCACAAAATGGCTTCTAGAAAACAACAAAAAACCAGCAAGAAATAAAAATAAAATAAAATAAAATAAAAAACACAAAAATACAACAACAATAAAAACCCATACCCACATTTTTCCATAGGACAAATTTACAAATTGTGCTTCTATACTCGATAAATTAAGCCAACAATAGAAAATCAACAAATTTTCATGCGGAAATCATAGAAAAAGAATGTTCGCATTGGTAAATACAAAATCAGCACCATCTAGAGGGAAAAACCAGGAAAATCACAAGAATAAAATCCATAAGCTTGTTTAAGAAGATAAGGTATTTTGTATGTAGTTTGTATGAGGGAAACCTACCTTAGTGGAGAATACTAAAAACAAGCAAAAATAAATAAATATTAGTGAAGAATACTAAAAACAAGCAAAAATAAATAAATAAACGCAACGCAAGCCAAAAAAAGCATACCTCGTTGAAGAAGATGAAAGCTTGTGGGTCTGTGAGAACGGACACAGAGGGTTGAGAGAGAGTGGCGAGGGAGGCTTTGCGGGAGAGAAGACAGGGATTTGAGAGAGAGTGGCGATGGCGAGGGAGGCTTTTGCGGGAGAGAGGGGTTCTTTAATCAAAGGATCCCCCAGTTACTTATTCCGCATGGGATTTCCGATTTTTCTCTCGTGGTAATAAATCATCAATAACTCAAACTTAATAGGGAATAGAAGATAGGGAAAAAAACCTACGTTCAAAAGATATCTTTCCACCCTTATTTTTGAGATTTCCCATTTTCTCTCGTGGTGATAAATTATTAGGTTAAAATAGGTCCCTAAGTTCGAAAGATATCTTTCCACCCTTATTTTTGAGATTTCCCATTTTCTCTCGTGGTGATAAATTATTTGGTTAAAATAGGAAATAAGAAAAATTTACTTTTATTTTTAAGTCTTTTTCTCGAGAAACTTATAGTTTAAAATATGACAAATGATCCTATATCACCTTTTCCGACCAATGTGTATATGACCACAAAGGATCACCATTAAATTTGGTACGGATGTATAGAACAATCAAGTCTCATACCTATGTGATAACTTTTTTAGAGTTATGTGTCAACTTTAATGGAGATCTTTTGGAATCCTCTACACATGAGTTGAAAAAAATCATATAAGATCATTACTCTTAAAATATATCTTTTTAATCCCAATCACTTTAAACTTATTTTTGAACTTAAACAAATGTGATGAAAACAAACTCTTTCTAAATCCAATTCTTTCTCTCTTCACTCATATAGCTTCAAACTTCGCTTTTGCTCTCTCTTCCTGTATCTCTCGCTTCTCTCTCCTCCTATATTTTTCTTCCTCCCTGTAACTTCTCACCTCTATGAATCTTCTCTCTCTAGAAGTTTGAGAGGATGATTTTTAGAAAAGATACATCTTTTTATATTAGTTTAGCCTAAAAAACATGTTTAAATTAATTTAAGGGATTAAAAAAAATAAAATTTACAATTTTTATGCCCCAATATATCTTTTGAGGCAAAGGTTTATGCTTCAACTGCCATCCAGCTGTCAAATTTTAATCAAGAGGACTACTCACCGTTTGATCTTAGATCTGATGTCTCAAATTATTTTATTTTTAATTTTTGTTATACAAATTATATAGATATTAAATTTGGTACGTGCCATCTTCTCATTAGGGCGCACTTATCAAAAAATATTAAAAATAATTTTTCAATAAAATATAATGACTAAAATACATCTTGAAACTTTCAGAAGCATTAGGTCATTTTATTTTTTTGAAAATATAGTTTTTATATTTTTCGCTAGTACGAGTTTAATAGAGGATTGAACGTACAAATTTTGGTGTGAAAATAGTATCTAAAATAAAAATAAAAATAAAATAATGTAGAGACGTGACATTGTGATTAGGGCAATCTTAGCCCTCCATTCAGAATGGACGGTTGGATAAGAGGAAATATATAAGTTGTAGGAGAAGCATATAAAGTTTGTCCATCTTTTAAAACTGTGAGTCTATTGTGAAATGAATTGTAAAAATAGGGGGTATGAATATATTTTCAAAAACCTTGGGTCTATTGTGAAATGAAACCTAAAAATAGGAGCATGAGATATTTTCTCTAAAATTGTTTGGATTATTTATCAAAAAAAAAAAATGTAATGAGGCCATTTACTTTATCTACGAGGTGGTCATAATTAATCTTGACCATTGGGTGGGAAATTAGGTGGTTGCATTTATTTTATTGATCAAGCTCAAGGCTAAAAATAAATTTTCTCGAACGTTGTGACACATCCATGCTATCATATTTCATATCGGATGGTTATAAGTAATTGTGACTCCTTTATTCTAAAAGTAAATGGTCTCATTGTACACAATCTCTGTAAAAAATGGAAAAAATTTTCATGCGGGTCGGATCGTATTTGTACAATATGCCGTCCACATGTATAAATCATCAATTTAAAATGAATGCAAATAGGTGGTCCATCTGAAAACAAGTGTGACAAACGGTTCAAATGTTTTCTTAATATAATTATTATTTATAGTTTTCAAAAAAATTTTATTTTTAATATTCATGATGTCCATATCAAAGATCATATATTTTTTAAAAATTAGAATCAAATTATATTTAAAAAGTATATTTAATGTCAAGCCCGCATTTCTACAATATGCGGGCTGGCTGCATAGAAACAATGTCCATAAAAAATAGATTTTGAGTTTTATGACTTTTTTATATAAACACCGCAAAATGTGCAAATATGGGTTGCAATCAACCACGTGCCCCAGTCCGGCCCTAAAAACAAGGGCCTGGCCCGAGTCAAGGACAACTATGGCCCGAGGGTAGGGCCATGCTGGGCCTAGTCCCGGTTCGACAAGAGGCGCTTAGAGAACTTGCGGGTTGTGCTCCCAACTGCTCCCCTCATTTTTATTCTATGGAAAGCAAACATATGCGTCCATCGGTGGCCTTTGCAGGCATTCTTCAATGTTCTCTTTTAGCAAGGTTTGAAAAACAGGGTTCGGTAAAACCTGTCGTGGGATCGGCAATCTAATACGAATAAAAAATTAAAAAAATAAAAAATATTAGAAAATAAAGTGTGAGAAGTTATTTGACAAATCGGCCAGTTTTGTCAAAATTTTGTCAAAGAATCGGTTGAACCAGATCGAAGCTTATTCTCGATCCAAACAGGCTGGCTTCAGTCCGGTTTGCTGATTTTAAAACTTCGGTGGATAGCAATATTTTGAAACCTCGGTGGCTGGATCGGATGGGATTGGGTTGGATCATATGGTGGAACTTGTTTAAAGAAATTGTAGATACTGTTTTTTCATATATAAAACCGAAAATTATAAAACATAAGAATAATAAAATGGGCGTGAATCTAGAAATTTGGCTAATTAAATAACTTGATTTCCTGATAAAATCACCGGACTCTTTCACAGAATCTATGAACATATCAAAATGGAGGCTATTTTTTGTTTCAACTGCATATTAGGTCAATTCCCCAAATCTCGATCCACAAATCCCAACCCTAATATGCATTTTCTAAAGTTTCATCCGCGAATAAAGCAAAGCTCCTGTGGGAGCATACTGTACAACAACTCCATCAGGCGTCACAGATAACTAGGACAATTTTTTAGACTCAAAACATTGGGATCCTGCTAGATATAACTAGATCATTATTTTAAAGAAAAAACTTGGATTTCAACTTCTTGATCATTTAGATCTTCCGTCCAAGGATGGGAGGGTTCTTGTTCAATCTTAATATTTGATTTTTTTTTAAATTGCAACATGAGTTTTTTCTTTTTTGAGGTTGGTCCTTGGGTTCTAGAGTCTGCATTTCCAAAATTTAAGATCCAAAAGATATTCCAACCTTCAGTTTTGCCCTGAGCAATAGATAATCTTTCAACATAGGTCATTGAAAGGATCAACATAGGTCATTGAAAGGATCTCGGACGACCCACCAAAGCACGAAAGCCAAGATATTTTATAAAATTGATTCCTATTCGAAGAGTGCATAACCGCATCAACCTCTCTCCCACTTTGACCTAAGAGAAGTACCCTAAGAAGTCCTCTCACATGGATGGCGTTTTTGGGGCATAACTTGTTGAATTCACATCTAGATTCAAAAGATATTTTGTTGTGTCCTCTCGAATACATAAATTCCTATAAAAACATTTCATTAAAGATTAGCATACCAAAAGGTAAAATAAAATGTCAGTACCTAAAAGAACTGAATAGATCATGCAGGTTGTCGAGAAACTTAATTTTAAACAGTTTTTTTCCTCCTCGTTCTATGATTTTTAAAAACTTGGATAAATGTCTTGAAAAGTAAAATGGTCATATGAAAACATATTATCTTGATAGCTGTTCTAGACATTCTGCAAGATCATGTTTTAGGTATAGTATTGATATTTTCCCATACATAGATAGATGAAATATCAAAATTTACCCTTCATCACATGACTAGCCATTACAACATGTGTGCAATTTGCATATGGATGGATGCATTTGTAGGTGTAGAGAGGTAAGGTGCACCTCCAAATTTTATCATGGTATATAATTTTGATGTAAAATGTTCTTAGGATTATCTCAAAATTTATTTTTATATCAAATTATAAAAATTTTAATTTAAAAAATAGTTCAATCTATAAACATATGAAAATCTTGAAAATAGACGGTGTAGATAATATGTTGTAAAATGTACTATTTATGAGACTTAAAATCTTTTTATTTTTCATAGTCATACATCTCGATGTCGAGATGATCATTCAAAGGGTTTTTCAACATTAAACTACTTTTTCCGATGGATTTTTGAGAGGCATCCGTAGTTCTATCCAGCATGACTTTGCATTATGTCATTGCCCCGCAGCTATAGAACCCACAAGGGTGGAAAAGATTATAATTTCATCATAAAATTCTCTATACAAGGACAAAAAAAAGTTTTAATTATAACTATTTAAATCCACAAAGGAACAAAGATTAAAAATTCATCATAAAATTCTCTATATGGGGACAAATAGAAGTAGTGTTTCAGTGCTCAGCCAAGTCCACTCGGGCTTAACCAATTAACTCGGGTTCGGCCTATGGCCGAGGCAAGTTCAAGGAGCCAACTCGCCCTTGCTTAAAATTATTAGAAAGTCCAAATTTTTATTAAGAATCTTAAGTTTTCAATAATCCATCTTCTACCTACTTTTGTGGATCTTTATAGACTTTCAATAATTATTTACTACTCAATGTAATTTTTTCTATTTTACAAAAAATTTACAGGACTTTGTAATTTAAGTTCAATTCGCACTTTTTCGTCAAAAATTTTTTTTTTTCTCTAAAGAGCCACATTTTAGACATTCAATGAAATAAATGGAGCCACCCAATTTTACATCCAATGGTCACGAATTATTGTGACCACCTTGTACCAAAGGTAAATGGTCTCATCATGTACTTTCCCATATATATATAAGGGCATCTTAAAATTAATTTTTAGCAAATGGAGGGAATGCTCATGTGGGAGGACAAGATCTTTTTATTCATGTACAAAATCAGCACATTTGCTTGAAAAAAAAGGAAAATGGTTTGATAGGCTCCAGCTTTATCAAAATAAGTAAATCCTCACCAATTCATCAAATTTGCAATTCAAGTATCGGAAAAACTTTACATCGATCATCTCGGCTTGAATATTATTGCTATGAAAAAAAATAAGGTTTAAAGCTTTAAAATAGTGTATATTGTAAAAAAATATCTTGACCGGCCATTTTACCCTAAAAATAAGTGTTCACAATTCCGCAAGATTTGTACCTTTTTTTTTTTTTCAAAATTTTATTGTCTATGTTGAAAATTGATTTTAGAGCTGTAATAGAGATTTCCATTCCCAAAAGTTCTTTTTTAGACATAATTTAAGGTGATGTGTTGTTTTGATTTTATAAAATCCAGGGCTTCATGTTGGATAGTGTGAAAATACTTTTCGAGAAATATTTTTACTTAAAAAAAATTATATAGAACCAATGCTCTAAAGAATCAAATTAGAGCATACATCAAAAAATTTCACTAAAAGATGTTGTTTTGATGCCCAAATATCCTCAAATTCATCATCTCGACATCTAGATGCATGGATAGGAGAAAAAATGGTTTCAAGTTTTGCAAAAAGTGCATCTTGTAACGCATTTTTAGATTGTTAATTTTCAAGATTTTCAAGCTTTTATAAATCTACTTGATCTGGACTATTTTTAAAGTTTCAAATTTTATAATTAAAAATAAAAATATATTTTAAGGCTATCATAAAGATTTCCAATATTGAAACCACATTTCTCAACACTATTTGAAAGTTCGTTTGACTTTGATTATTTAGGGTCCGGCTATATACAAAAAAATGGAAACGTTTATACAGAGGCTAGGCTCTAAACAATCAAATTAGGGTCTACCTCACAACTTTCACTAGAAGAGGTTGTTTAGATACCCAAATATCATCAAATTGATCATCTCGACATCAAGATGTTTGGACATAAGAAAAAAATGGATTTCAAGGTTTAGAAATTGTGCATCTTGTAATGCATTTTTGGACGGTCAATTTTCAAGATTTTCAAGTTTTCATAGATATGCTTTGATTTACACTATTTTTTGAAGCTTTAAAGTTTATAAATAAAAATGGAAATATAATTTAAGATTAGTTGTAGTTTGCATAGAGCCTAGGTTCTAAACAATCAAATTAGAGCCTACCTTCAAATAGTGTCGAGAAATGTGGTTTCAATACTAGAAATCTTTGTGATAACCTTAAAATATAGGAAAAATATCTCCTTATCCTTTATTTTTAAGTTTTATTTCTTGATAAACCCAAGGTTTTAAAAGATATATTCTAATCCCTTCGCTACTTTAAACTTATTTTTTAACTTAAACAAATATAAAAAAGAGATGCTCTTTCTAAACCCAATCGATTATTTCTCTTCACTTATATACTCCAAACTTATATATTTCTCTCTCTTCCTGCGTCTCTCACTCTCCCTCTCCTTCCGTGTTTCTCCAAACGCTTTTCTCTCCTCCCTATAACCTCTCACCTCCATGAAGCCTTCTCTCTCTAGAAGTTTGGGAGAATAGCTTTCAGAAGAAGCATGTCTTTTTAGATTTTTTTCGGCCTAAAAAAACAAGTTTACATTAACTCAAGGGGTTAAAAGAAATAAAATTTACAATTTTGTGTTTTAAGATATCTTTTAAAACCTTAGGTCTATTGTGAAATAAAACCTAAAAATACTGCGTATGGAGATATTTTCCCTAAAATGTGCTTTCATCTCTATTTACAAAGTTTAAACCTTCAAAAATAGTGTAGATCGACAGGTCCATAAAAACTAAAAATCTTGAAAACTAATGGTCTAAAAATGAGTTATAAAATACACTATTTTGAAAACTTAAAATCTATTTTTTTTTCCTATATTCATACATATTGATGTTGAGATGATTAATTTGAGCATCAAAACAACCTATTATAGTGAAATTATTAAGGTACTCTCTTATTTGGTTGTTTAGAGCCTCGGCTCTATATAAATTTGTTCCCTTTAAGAATGTCACATAACCTTTTCCCTTGAAGAATATCATAAAACTTTTCATTATTGAAACTTATTTTTGGGACATTATTTGAAGGTGGGTTCTAATTTCATTGTTTAGAGCGTCGGGTCTATACAAACCATACCCAAAAAAAAAAGAAATCCCTCTAATGATTGGATGTGGGAGTAATTTCAGCGACTGCTGATTGAGTATGAAAAAAATGCACAAGGACTGATTGACACCTAACGAACGCGACGCGACGCGACGCGACGCGACCCGACAATACCTCGCTCCATTTGACGCCTGCCAAACGTGCCCAAAAACACACAGACGGGATGCTCTAACACTCCAATATGAACACCCGCTCTTCAATTTATACCCATCATCACTGATCACCAAAGAAATGGAAGCCATGGCATTTTCATTTTCATACCAGACCTCCTTACTTTCTCTCTCTACCCAAATATCCCCATCTTTGAAATATGGGGCCCTCAGATCCTCTCACTCCTCAATCCTTTCTCTCTCCTCCAAACTTTCCCCTTGTTTGCATCTTGGCGTACGAATTCAGTGTTCTAGCACCCCAAACCCCAGCCCAGGTAATGGCCAACGTTTCTTGTCTTGATATAAAACATGGGTTTTGCTTCCTTCTTCTTTTTTGTCTTGCTAGAAAACATGGGTTTTGGTTCTTTCAGTTTTTTTCGCTAAGCAGTTTTTTGCTTCTTTCTTTTCTTGGATTAGATGGGTTTTTCCTTTTTTCAATCCATTGTTTTGTCTCTGATTTAAAAGTCGGGTTCTTTTTTGTTTTGGAAGAAATTGACGTAACTTCTTTTATTTAGGTTGATTTATTCTTTCTCGCTCATGGGTTTGGATCTTTATTATCGGGGCCTTTTTTTGTGTGCTTATCAAGTTTGCTTGTTATGGTTTATGGGTTTCTTTGATTTGCTCTCATCATTGATTGCCTGCTTCTACAATCTAAAATTTGATTACCAAAAAATTGAGTAATGGGTTTTTGTCCATGGATAGTTTAAAGAGTTGGAATTAAATTGCAGAAGACTAATAATATGAGAGGATGGTTGGTGAATAAAAGGATTGGGAAGAGATTTCAATTCAAATAATGATTATAACTGAAAAGAAAAACAAAAAAAGCAATGAGGAAGATAAGAAATTGAATTCCAATGGGTTAGGAAGAAATCAACTCTGTTAAAACCCCATTTTTTTGCCATAACTTTACCTTCAGTAGGCGATTTCTCCCCCATTTGTTTATCATGGGTGATGGATGTTATAATTGAAACTTCTATTGTCCATTATTTCCTGATTTTCCATTACTTGTGTCCTCTTTTCTTTTGAAGTGTTCTAATCATACTTTGAACCTATTAGAATGATCATGGATCTGCTCCATGTTGCTCACGTTTCAGGTCTTGATAAATGTTTATTGGGCAGGTGAAAGTGATAGCAAAGCTGTTTTGGATGCTTTTTTCGTGGGCAAAGCTTTGGCAGAGACTCTCAATGAGAGAATTGGGTCCACAGTTGGGGAATTCTTGAGTGTGGTTGGTCGGTGGCAAGCGGAACAACAAAAGCAAGTGCAGGACTTCCAGGTATAATTTATGGAATTGGAAATTATTATATGGTTTCTAGTTATAGATTATAGGTTTGTGACTTATTACGTGATTTCTTTCATGATATTTGCATTTCTTGGGTATGTGGTAAGTCCACTTGCAGTTATATAGAAATAAACAGAGGAAGTATAACTTATAAGTAGAAGAAACTAAGAAGAGCCAGAATGGGACTCATGGAAGCGTGATGTATTAACTCAACCACACAAATAATGAAGACATTTTTAGCCATCAAAAAGCAAAATAAAAAAAATGGAAAAATGTATTTGTCCTTGGGCTTGATTAGTTAAGGTGCTGACATTGCAAAACAAGGTCCCAGGTTTGAATACTTCTCCTGAAGTACTCAGGAAAAAGAACAATAAAGGGAATGAAAGAATATGTTTTTTTATTGAAATGTTGATATTGAAAGAAAAGAAAAATAGATGAGCATAGATTATAAAAAGAATGAGACAATCACTTTATAACATGAAGAAAACAGTGGATTCTTGTTGTACTGCTTACAAGAAGTAAGACGAAAAGTAGGGATCTTTTATATTTTCCCAAAATTGATACCATAGTTAGCTGGCTTACATGTTGAAGAGGTTGCTTCTCTTGTCACATGGCCTTCATTTGTAACAACTACCATTAGGAACATTTTGAAGCCTGTATAAAACATTTTGAAGCCTCTTAGGTATGCATTCGCAAATCACCAAATATCAATGAGAGAGTCATCCTCTATTTATTGCTACTGGCTCAGAGATTCTATACACCATTATTTGCTCTCCCACTAGAAGTGTCTGGTTCTTCACCAAACAATTTCCAAGGATGACTAATGCAATGTTGCATACTCCTGTCCTAATAGCTAAATATTCATGTGGTTTGTTACCTTCAAAGATGGTATGGCATGTGATTTTGGTCATTTGTGAAAGTTCAGTGCCATTCTTTAGTTTGTGAAATAAGAAAGGAATTTCACTTGTCTGTGTAGAACAAGTTATTAGCAAGAAATATGCCTTGGTGCCTCTCACATGGTTGCATGTTTTGGATGCTATTTCAATTTGATGTGCAACAATATGCACCCTCTTTTTTATGACAAATCTGAGTGCACTCTTGCAGGAGGAGGTTTTAGAGAGGGCCAGAAAATCCAAGGAGAAATCATCGCGTGCAGTCATGGAACAAAGTGGAATGGCATCAAAGTCCCTTGCCAAACCCACCGACAAAGAAGTTTCTAAAGAAAGTACTGTAATTTCATCTTCTACTTCTAGTCCTGCTAATGATGACCCTTCTCAGGATGAGAGCAATCAAGACTAGTTTTATCTTATGTTAAGCTTCTATGTTTTGTCTGGTATGCTATTTCTTGTATTAAGTTTCTAATTTGATAATATGCTTTCTGTTGCAATGAAGTTGGGCCTTGTCTACAAATCAACGTGATTAGTGGAAGTTGGGATTGGGCTTTGGGTTCTGTAGCTTTATAAAATTAAAATTACTTACATGCTTCCTGTAAGAATAAGATCAACATAAAAGGTAGAATTCAATTAATCTTTTACAGAACGAGGATATTGCAAATCTTTAAATGGACTAGAAGATGTTATTAAATAGCATGCTGTAGTTTTTTTCAGTTTTTTGAGGACACGGAACTTTCATAAGGTAGAGAGAATCCCGATGTTTTGTGAATACTGATAGCATTCTGCTTTGCTGGTTAGTGGTTTAGTATAGAATATTATAATGTATTATTGGTGCCAAACCTGTTGCAAAGTTGATAGTATCATGTCTCTTACTTGCATGTTTGTATAGGTGTGAAACGGCTTACTTGAAACCTCAAGTTATAGAATTATGTGATTGTGGATCTTAAAATGGAAGGCTTGAGACTTTCACGTTCAGAATTACCTAACTGTACTCAAGATGCTGCAAAAGGAAGAGACAATAGAATCTTTTTTTTTTGACATGTTAACAAGTATAGTAGGTAGCGGCTCTGCCATCTTGAGCACGACGAGCCCATTCCTGAAGAGAACAAAATATTTGAATGGAGCTGTGGTAAAGAAAGTGCTCAACTAGATCAAGGCAACAAGCACTTCCTTGTAAAGGTGCAGTCCATGGGGGCATCCTCGGGGCACTTAATGGGTAAATGGGCTCATGTGACTGAACTGTTCTATGATGTGGTATTGTTCCATCAATAAACGTTTTGAACTGAAACATTGAGTCGTTGATGTTGCAAGAAAATAAAAGCGCTGCATATACTTTATGCAGATGTTGTAACAAGTAAAAGTATGACCTTTGACTTACTACTGTGATTTCCTAGAGGTTGATGCAAACTACAGAAAACCTTTTTTGTCTCCATGCCATTTTTTGATGTCATTCTTAATCTGAATCAATCATTAATCATGTTAATACTTTAGAGCAATAAACCTCTTCTATCTGCTAAAAAGCTTGATACAAAAAGTTTATGCAAGATCAAGGCTGCATGGAGCAGGATATCTACAATACAAGTGTATTCATAAGACAATATTCGGTTCCCTACCCAAAAAAATTATAGGTTTTATTTTATTGAGAAAATAGATCCAATCTATGTATATTTTGCCAATGAACATATGTTATTATAACAGTAATGTGATATGAAATTCTGGATACATTGTATCTGAAATATATAACCATATAAATATGCTAAAACAAAGCAACTATTCACATGAACAAATATGGTGTTCTCAAAATGAATCAATGAACTTCAAACCATAGAAAATCAAGATTTCAACATGATAGTGACGGACTATCACTTTAATGTCTTCTGAATAATTACTGCCTTAAGTAGCTGATGTCTGCTTGATGTAAACAATAATTTATTTTGAATTTTAGGTTGAACAGGAAGAAGATTATTAATCCAAATTCGATTCCTGCCTCAGAGATACCCATCAAAATACACATGATCATGATTAGGAATAGTTTATAAGAGATCAACAATTTAACATTTTACACATATTGATTGATTTAATTCCAAAATAGCCATCAAAATACACGTGATCTTGATTAGGAACAGTTACAAATGTATAAAATGTTAAGTAATGCATCTCTCATGGGTATTTGGTTATTCCCTTTTGAAAATCGCATAAATGTAGGTTAGGAAAAATGACTAGACAAGATGGAACAATACCATGAAAATCATTTGAGGACAAGCCTGCAAAAAACTGTGTAACATGAAAAAAGAAAACGCGACCACATGATTATATACAAAAAGACATGAATAAACATAGATAAGAAAATAAAAGATCTTAAGAAACCTATCACTTTCTAGCCATTCCCAAAAGCAAAAGTATCACAAAGAAAAAACCAAATAAGTAACTGAGAAGATTCTATGCTTTTCTGGGAATGAATTGTACATTTTCTCCCTTGGGCAAGCTCCTAGCTTGGATTATTTTTAGGACACCAAGATATGGGTATGTATCCTACTCAACCTAAACACGGAACTCTAAGAAAAGAGAAATAAGTAAATATGCACTCTAGAATTGCCTATACAAAATCACACTGTAAGGACGTAGACTGTCGGATCTAGGCATTCAAGAACTCTTTTTTATTTCTTCTAGTTACTTATCTGGTGATTCATAAGTGGATTCCAGTATTTTGGATCAAGAATATTCTCCTATTTATTTCTTTTGCCCAACAACAATTGACTCCTGTGGAGCATTGAATATGGGCCCAACAAATAAACATACAAACTCTTAATGGATACCCCCTAACCCAACTGCACTAACCCCAAAATCCACCTCAAGAAACCCACTTAAACCCAATTTCTAACCAACATTCAATCATCTTACCCCAAAGTAAATTTTAATTCCAGAATTAGAAGTCTTTGAAAAGCGAACCATAAATGCAAAAGAGTTTACATGAACACTCTCAAGAATAAACCCAAGTTTGACAAAAACAAAAGACCATTGCCTACATCACGAATCCATTCAGCCCACTCTTTCCTAAAACATTTCCTATTTAAGGAAATAAATTACGGCAAAAAAACTTATTTGAAAAAAGTTCCACCTAGATATTCAATAAAAAAGAAAGTCCCACCTCATCAGAACCTGGCTAAGAATACACTCTCCTCATGCCCAACCAAGTCCTTTGGACCATCTCGTAGTTGAATCTTGTTATTGTATACATGAGTCAGTGTCATTGACCCCATGATAAATAGACAGAGAAATCATGGCTCCTAAAACCACAATATCTTCCTCTCTTCTCAGAGTAAAACTGTAAAATCATCTGTCCATTTTCTGGAGTGGAAATAGCAAAGTAATGGAGGTTATCCTCTACCAATATAATCTGCTCTAATAGTAAAACTATCATCTTTCCTTTTATCGTGTGAAAGTAGGAGAGTTGGAGGATATCCAATACCTATATAAGTTGAAAAGACTGTTGGAATGGAGAGGAGCATGTAGGGGAGAGAGGAGAGAGAACACCAGTGATATAGAGGCATTAGGCATAACCATTTTAAAACATCAAGATACATAAATATTTTAGAAAGGGGAACTCGTTAAGATGAGAGATTACCAGGCAGCCCTTTTAGAAATAGAGAGAGAATGGCTATTTTTGTGATATAAATGAGATAAAAGGGAAAGAGGAGAGAGAAGAAAGGGCCATAACCCGATCCCGCCTAAACAGGGTCTAGGGAGGGGTGGGCTGGAAGAAGAGAAAGAATAAAAAAAAAAATTAAAGAGTAGAAGGATATACTATAATACAATATAACATATAAACTAACATATGTTATATTATATTATAAATATAATATATATATTATATTATATAATATTACTAATGTTATATGTTATATTTTACTAATAATATTATAAATTAAAATAATATATATTATATTGTATTATATTATATTATATTACTAATATTATATAGAATATTATATTATTCTATGAATAATATAATATTCTAGAATATCATATAATATGTTATAGTATAAACTAATATATTTACTAGGAGACAATTTCTTTTGAATTTTAAGTATAAAGGTGAGGTTGAGAGCCAACTTTTAGGTTGATTTTTTCCATTCATTTGAATGTGGTGAGAAAGAGAGGCTTTAAAGAGAGAGGGGGAGGGAGCGGAAGCACATTTTCAAAGGGTAGGATGAGTCTCGAGAGGGAGCCAACAACTTCTTTGATTTGTATGTATACTTTCCTTTTTCTTGTAATTTCCCTCAATCAAATTGCATCACTTGATGATGTTTTAGTTTTAAGACTTAATGGTAGCTTTAGACTGAGATTGAGATAATTGTCTCAAATCTCGACTGCACACTTACACTGATGCTGGGTGGCTTAAGTACATTTTAAATCTCAGCGGTTGGCTTACACTTTGGTTTTGTAAATCTCAACTATAGACTTAGACTAAGATTGAGGGGATCAAACACATCATATCTCTAGTGATTTCAATTGGATTGGCATCATCCTTTGGTGCTTGTTTGTGTATGTAATCAGCCAGATAGGTGATGCGTCTAACTCAAATCCTAGTCACTGGCTTGGAGAAAGGTTAGTAGGCTGAGATTAATAATTCTTACATAGTACCATCAACTCACTTATACATGATCGTGCTTAATTTTCCGTTGACGTTGTGTAGAGAAATATGACACCCTGGTTATCCTGTTTTATGCTTGACTGCTTGGGGGCATTTGTAATCTTTGTGTATGAAAGGTAACAATCTCACTGTAGCGATTTCCTAAAATGTTTGCTTCGAATAAATTGGTAGCACAGAGCCAGTGTAATCAAATCTCAAACTGCTAAATGGTTAGCCCATGAGAGTAACATTGAGCATTTTTAACCGCCCATTACATGGTGGTGCCAATGGGATTATGATCAAATGTTAATTTTCAAACTAGAATGATTATTTCCCTAAATCGTTTTCAGACCATCTGATCAGTAGTTACACAATTGTAAAGTGCAGATTTGTTGTTGCCCATTGCTTCTAGAGTGATTCCCATCCTTACTTAAGTCCTCTCTCTCTCTCATGCTTTTGATCCCTTGTGCATTTCAGGTTCTCATTACTCAGATTTTGAATCATATATTTTCACACCTTACCCTATTGATACATCTATATGTATTTATGTAACTATAAGATCCGTGTTCCCCCTCTACTTCCATTTGATCAGAAATTCAGCCATTGGATTTTCAATGCTCAATCTCAGAAGGCACTCAGTATTTCAACAAGGCTTAAAGGGGGATCCACATGGTTTATTATAAGACTTTTCAAGCCAAACGTTATCCCATATATGTAATCTTGTGATCCCCATGGTTTATTAAGGCATGTCAAGCCAAGTCTTATTCCTTCCGAGATTGTGTTGTGATCCTCAATGATTTATTAGTCTTCTTCAAGCTGAATATTCAGGCCCTAGTGTCAAAACCTTATGAGTTACACCTTTAGATATTGAAATCATGTTCCTACCTTCAAGTATCGTAAGTAATTGGATTGTATACTATATGACTATTTATTTTTGGTACAAGAAGGTCACACCCACCTCTAGCCATCATATGTGAGAAATTACGCAGCTAAAGGTGTGCTATAGTTTCACAAAAACTTACAGAAAAATGGTACAGGAATGTCACGTCCCACCGCTAGCTATCACAGGTGAAATAGGGCGCCTAAAAGGATGTCATTTTTCATTAAAAAGTTTGAAAATTTTTGTTAGAATAAATGATACAAAATGACACATACCACTGTGAAAGTCAACCATATTTTCGGTGGCTTTCAAGTTTCAAATATTGAAAATAAGTGTGGAAGTTGAAAAGGGGGGGAGACTATAATGGTGCATGGGTTATAAATAGGGTCAGTGTGGTGAAGTGCAGTGTGGTCTGATAAAGTGAAGGAAGAGAGAGTGAGAGGAGTGGCTGGCATGAGAGAGTGAGAGTGAGTGGTGGTGAGGTAGCAAGTAAGTTTGTGAGATGAGTGATTTGAGTGGTGTGATTGTGTA